GATTGCATGGCTGGACAATGTGAGAGGCCCGTTTATCCGTTCACTTGTTTATTGATTCATTCATTGAAAAATATATTTTGAACATCTGTAAAGTGAAAGATGCTGAGTTCAAATAATGTATTTATATCTTTTTAATAAGAAAATACACAAAGATTTATATAGGTATCAAAGTTAATAAAGTTGAATACAAATATTGATGAAATACAATATTGAATACAATATTGATGAAATTTCCAAAATAAATGACAAACTATAGGGTGCTAACAATGACAAGAAGGCCAAAGAATAAAGAATTAAAAAAATGATGCTCCTCGATGCTAATAGACTGTGGACGTAAAGTTAAATGTAGAAGGGGGAAAAAAGACCATCCTAAAATGTAAGGAGCAAATCCCCGTTTACAAAGAGTGCGCTTAGTGTAGACTGATAAAGCAGGTTGGACAGTGAGAAAATGCAAGAAGAAACATAAGACTCAAGAGCAATGGGATCTGGACTAGGCAACTGAGTGGAAAGGGAAAAAGCAAGGAGGAAATGTTCAATGAAGAATACTACATATGTTCAAAATATTTGCATAAGAGTTCTGATATCAAACTAAGAATATTATTCACAAGAATAATCAACCACATGCCAGAAATAATTCATTCTGTATAAAATACCTTTAAATTAAAATTAAATTAAAATTAACAATAAAACAAACATCAAACACTGTCCTCCCATTGTTCATGGATTTGCTCGAGCGGGCCCAGTAACATCTCCATTTTTGAGACTTGTTGTTACTGTGTTTGGCATATTGAATACATCACAGGTAGCTTCCAGGCTTTGCCGCGCATGTGAGATACTCTCGGTAGCTTGCCGGGCTCTCTGAGAGGGGCGGAGGAATCGAACCTGGCTCGACCAGGCTGGCTGAGCACGATAGCACAGCATGTAGGGTTTTTGCCTCGCACGCAGCCAACCTGGGGTTTGATTCCTAGCATCACATAAGATCCCGCGAGCACCACCAGGAGTAATTCCTGAGTGCAGAGCCAGGAGTAAAACCTGTGCATCGCCAGGGTGTGACCCCTCAAAAAAGCTAAACAATAAAAAAAAATTAAATTTGACAGCAACTTATAAAATTTTATAAAATTTTATAACTTTTCCATAAACCACATTCCCAACATAACTTAAGCACATTTTATGAAAATCTTTTCACATAAAATCATCGAAATTTATTGATAAATACTGACCAAAAATGTGCCAACTCATTTATGCTATATTTTCTGTGCTTCTGATCATAATTATAAATTATTAAAAATTAAATTTTGAGATGCCAGGGATCAAATACAATGCCTCACACATGCAAGACCTGTGCTCGACCACTGAACTATACTCTCAGCATTTTGTAGGTACCAAGAGACCAAGGAGAAACCATAATTTACACTCTTTGAATATTTTTTTAAAACTTTTTTGTCTTTTCTCAAACTCATGACCTTATACACTCAACCAAGTGCTCTATCACTAAACTACAATCCCAACTATTTGGGGCTCTTTGTCTCTATTGGAAACAATAGTTTCTACAAAGACATTATAATCTTGGACCAGTGAAACCCGGTACTATTTTCTTGAATCCTCTCCATATAATCAATGGATGAAATATCAAGCAAAACAATGGAAACAAAGATTGAAACAAAAATACACACTTTCTTGTAGAAGATTGTATTTATAGAATTCTCCTGTGCAATTAGCTTAAACATCATATTTATTCCAACTTTGTCAGTGGGAAAAAACCTAATGACAAGGACATGGGCATCAGATGAAAATTTTGTGAACTAGTTAAAAGAATAAAACAAAATGCATTTAGTTCTAAATTTCCATAATTATCAGTATAATAGTAAAGAAGAAATCTTTAAGGATGAAACAGCACTGACCATTCAAGTGGAAGCAAACATAAACAAATGGGACTATATCAAACTAAGAAATTTCTGCACTTCAAAAGAAACAATGATGAAAATACAGGAAGACTCCACAGAATGGGAAAGAATATTTACCCGATACCCATCTGATAAGGGATTAATATCCAAGATATACAAGACACTAATAGAATGATACAAGGAAAAAACCTCCAACCCCATCAAAAATGGGGAGAAGAAATAAACAGAAGTTTCCTCAAAGAAGAAATACAAATGGCCAAAAGGCACATGAAAAATGCTCGACATCAGTAGCCATCAGGGAGATGCAAATCAAAACAACAAGGAGATATCATTCATACCACAGAGACTGGCACACATTCAAAACAACAAAAACAAACAGTGCTGGTGTGGATGTGGAGAAAAAGGGACACTCTTTCACTGTTGGTGGGAATGTACAGTAGTCCAGCCTTTCTGGAAAACAATACAGACAGTCATTCAAAAACTAGAAATTGAGCTTCCATATGACCCTGCAGTACCACTTCTGGGAATATAGCCCAATGATGCAAAAAAAGCACAGTAGAAATGACATCTGTACCTATATATTCATTGTAGCACTGTTCACAATAGCCAAAATCTGGAATCAACCCAAGTGCCCTAGAACAGATGACTGGTTAAAGAAACTTTGGTACATCTACACAATGGAATACTATGCAGCTATCAGGAGAGATGTAGTCATGAACTTTGCTTATAAATGGATAGACATGGAGAGCACCATGCTAAGTGAAATGAATCAGAAAGAGAGGGACAGACATGCAAGGACAGCACTCATTTGTGGAGTATAATACAACATAACATACGGCTGACACCTAAGGATAGTAGATGCACAGGACAGGTAGATTGCTCCATAGCTGGAAGCCTGCCTCATGAGCAAAGGAGAGAAGGCAGATGGAACAGGGAAGGGATCACTAAGAAAATGGTGGCTGGAGGAATCGGTTGGGATTGGAGATATGTGCAGAAAGTAGATAAAGGACTAAACATGATGACCTCTTATTGTCTGTATTGCAAACCATAATGCCCAAAAGTAGAGAGAGATTATGGGGAATCATGTCTGCCATGGAGGCAGGGGGAGTGTGGGAAAGGGGGGGTATATCGGGGATATTGGTGGTGGGGAATGTGCACCGGTGGAGGGATGGGTGTTTGATCATTGTGTAATTGTAACCCAAACATGAAAACTTGTAACTATCTCACGGTTATTCAATAAAGTTTTTTTTTAATTTATAAAAATTTAAAAATTTAAAAAAATAAAAAATAGTAAAGAAGAAAATGAAATTTTCCATTTTGTTGTGGCTTAATAGAGAAGAGAGCACCAAATAAAGGGTGTTGTGAAGACCCTCCCAGGGTGGGAGAGACATGCTAAAAGTGGTCTATAGACCAAACATGACTGCCACTCAATGCCTCTCTGGCAAAACACAGTACCCAAAAGAAGAGAGAGAGAACAGGGAGGAATGCCCTGCCACTGCGGCAGGGTGGGACGGGGGGGTGGGGGGGAGGATGGGGGGTGGGAGGGATGCTAGGACCCGTGGTGGGGGAGGATGGGCACTGGTGGAGAGATGGGTACTTGATCATTGTATAACTGAAACCCAAGCACAAAAATTTATAAGTCTATAAGTGTACTTCATGGTGTTTCACTAATAAGAAAATGATAAAAAAAAAAAAAGAAATGGAAACCCCTGAGCTGTAGTGATAGTACAGGTGTTAAAGTGCTTGCCTTGCATGTGGCTGATCTGGGTTCAAATTCCAGCCCTGTATATGGTCTCCTGAACACCACTAGGAGTGATCACAGAGTCAAGAGTAAGCCCTTAGTATAGCCAAGTATAACTGAACACTAAAAACAAAAAATAAATAGAAATCCTCTAAATTATTTATTTAGGTTTGTTATCAGGCAAAGTGATTATAATACAAAGTTTTTAATGAAGACATAACTTCAAAGGGAAGCAAAACTAACCATTTCAAATATGTCCAAATCACTTATACCCTACGGCTCTCTAGTAGATATTCCTATTAGAGGTTAGGAGTGGGATCTGATACAATTAATTTAAATGAAAAGTAAATAGAATCTTATATAAATGTTAATTGATCATTTCTTACTCAATTGGTTTAGATACACAGATATTCAACTTTGAAAACTCTCCTATAATTGCTGATAATTAAGTTGAATACCTATTGGAAAAGAATCAGGAAGTGAGCAGGTAGCTCATATGCATTTATAATATTTGTTAAGCATTCTGTAGAAGGATTGGTGCAAAATCAAATGGGATTTTTTCCTCCACAGCAACTGGAAGGAAACCCCAAGTGTTTGCTTTTAGAGATCTCAGGTTGCTAGCAGGACTTTCTAACAGCCTATCTAGAACTCATCCAGAATGAATCTGAATATGCATTAGTAGAAGAACTTCTATCTTGTACTGCATAACTAGGAAGGATAACAAGTATTCGGAGAAAGATGCTAAACAGGTTTCATGGCATACTGACCTATTGTGTATTATCATATTTGGGGATTTCAAAATTCTCAACCCATCAGATTCTCTGGACAAAACACAAACTAAAGAGTTTTACAGAAAAAAAAATTGTTGTACAAATTAAACTTAGCAGAGATTTCTCTTTACATCTTTACAGAGGACCAAAAAAGATATCTTGACAGGCTAAATATATGTTTTTCATGAAAGAGGCCTGAGTTTGATCCCTGACACCAGATGGTTCTTTGAGCACCTCTGAGGGACATCCCAGAGCACAGAGCCAGGTTTTATCCCTGAGTATCGCCAGATGTTACCCAAATACCTAACATTGCCCCAATGCCACCAAAAAGGAGAAAAAAAAAACTCTATAGAGATTGTAGTTAAGCAAAACAAAGGTGAAACACTTTTCTATTAATACAGTAATAATTTATTACAGACACTGATTAATCTCATAGTGTACCCAAATTGTTTAAAAAATTGTCTGCGAATTTTAAAAGATCATGAAGGGTTTGTGTCAGATATTAAGAGACTATTTTGACTAGGAGCTATAAATTTAAGACAGGAATTTATGCACTCACTAAAAACAGTCATGTGATCTACTTACCCCTGCAAAGCTTTCTCTCCAAACCAATCTCCTTTCCCCAACGTTCTAAGGAAGACTGGATCTTCACTTGGTGAGTCTTCACGGGTAACATTCACCTACCAAAAAAATAAATAAATAAACAATGAAACTGTTTATCTTGCATACCCTGATAATCCAATGAACACTAATAGATAGCATTAATTCAATTTGCTCTGTATTTAGCACTGTCCACTGTAGCAATGATCTCCCATTGTTTATCCATTTGCTCCAGCGGGCCCAGTAACATTGTGAGAGTGGTTGTTACTGTGTTTGGCATATCGAATATGTCACCAGTAGCTTGCCAGGCTTTGCCATGTGGGCAAGATACTCTCCGTAGCTTGCGGGGCTGTCCGAGCGGGGCGGAGGAATCGAACTCGGGTTGGCCATGAGCAAGGCAAACGCCCTAACCACTGTGCTATCATTCCAGCCTGTTCTGTATTTAAAAAAACAAAATCGAAACTCCTTATGTTTATAGAGAACATCCCCACTAGACAGAGACCAAGAATAACCTCTCAAATTTCCATGCAAACCACAGAAAGGACCATCAAGTATTTTATTAATTTCAAGTTGTCTTTAAGAATTGTAAAATTTGAATTCCACTAGTTCCTTATCCCTATTCCAAGTGCTACTTCTTACTAAGGCAATGAATTAGTGAACATTTGTAATATGTTCTATGTTAATATGCATGTGGTTTAAAATTGTATAACATAGTATTATCATTCTGCAATCCTCTTTTTAATATTGTTTCTGCTATCCCATGCTACTAGATAGGAACCTAGTTATCCATCTTAATGTTCCTGATTTCAACTTTACAGAAATATCTATGTATTTTTTTATTGGCGAACTTTTATATTGTTGCTATTTTTCCTCTGCAATGCACAAATTTCTGCACATATTTACATGTTCATCCAGTTTCTCTAGGCTATGCCCATCTATTTCCTTAATAAGAATTCATCCTTCAATTCAAAGTCCAGTCACATTTCACGAAGCTTTCCTGTAAAACTTAATATAGTCCTCACATTCCAGATGTTCCCTTCAGCAGGGATCCTTTTTATATTTATTTTTTAAATATATATGAATTAGATGTATGCCTCTTTTACCAAAAAAGTATGGTCCTCAAAGAAATATGTATTTTGTTGACACTATAATTTGTTTGAAAAAGAAGCACTTGATAGAGCAAAACTCAACAGAAAAGTTTCATTATAACAAGATCTCTCATCCATACAGAACTTGTGACTTGGATGATAGTATACATAAGACAATAATATTTCTTTTGCACAATTAAGACATAATTATAGTGAATAGAATTTTTGTGTGAATTAACTTTTCCTTAAGCTCTAATAATTTTCTTAAAACTACCTATGTATCCTGAAAGGTTGAATAGTAAAAGTTCATCCACCTGGAAAACATAATGAAGTAGAAAAACTTGCTTTGAAAAAGTCAGACAAAGCCATTTAAAAATTCTATGCTTCAAGTTCCTGAATTTACAGATTGCATGTAAAAAAACAGAAGTTTTAAGTTTTTAGAATGTCTGCGCAATATGGAGGGATTTCAATTATCATTTTCCACTGATCCATTTCATTATTCACCACAAAACATTTCAAAACCATGGAAATGCAGTTTTTAACATTCTTCTCTTTCACTTGTATCACAGAGATGCTCATTTGCATTCGATAAGGTTTTTACTGCTCAGTGATTCTCAAGCTTGATCGTGTTCCTGTGTCTGGTGTGTGGGAGATGGTGGGGAATGTCATTTAAAATAAGGGTAACAAATTCTTGTTCTTGAGCTTTTGATAAGGTGCTTTTGAAACTCTGCATCTCAAAACTTCACTGTAGACAGTTTAGAAGCAAATGTTTTACCAATCAGCCCCTGACAAGTATTGGTAAATTATTTTATCTCTGAACCTCCATTTCCTCATACACCTCCACCCTATTCCCCACCATCCTCACACATGCACTAATTTATTCTCAACGCTGCTTCCAGAGAGCTCTTTTGGTAAAAATTAAATTTAAGAAATGTCATTTTCCTTTTCAAAATCCAATGACTTTATGAGAAAGAATAATTTAGTTTCTACAGTCTGACATAATTTAGCAGTGTTGTTTTTAATGTGGAGTGATCAGAAGCACCTGGAGGGCTGGTTAAATCATTTTCCTAAATAAGTAGCGGATCTGAGGGAGGGTAGAGAATTTACATCTCTCAACATTACTTCTCATTACATCTATAATAAGATTTTATTCGCTAATCTTTGGTGGGGAAGCCAGGGATCTAGCAATTCACACCCATCCATCGTGTCTCAGTTTTCCACCATGGCATCCTTCAACTGGAAATACTATAGTTTCCCAAGTTCATTATGCCTTTTCTGTCTTTTCTGTTTCTGCAGATGGTAATCTAAGCATGCCTGGTCCCTATCTGCTGGTAGGTTAATCATCCCTACCCTGCTTTTGTATTTTGTGATCACATAAAATTCCCTCTCTCTTATTGCACCCTACCACACTGGGCTATGATCTCTGTGTTATTTACACTCCATGGCACGAGCACGGTCCTAGTAGGCCAGTATCTTTTATCTTTGTATAGTCAGCATACAACAAAAAACCTGACATGGTAGGAAAACAGTCAAATATTTTTGCTCCTGATTTTTTTTCCCAGTGTATGTTGGTAATTCTCTGTCAAGATCGATGGTTCTAATACCTTGACAATGTGCCCAATACAATTCGTTTTAAGAAATTCCATTTCCCTTCAGTGAGTACTTGGAATTCCCTGAAAGAATGGGGCCCATGTATTTGGAATGGAAACAAGAAAAGGACCACACCCACTCACAACCTACTGCAAAAAAAAAAATTCAAGGAAAATGAATTGTATGAATAAAAGAAGAGCATATCCTGAAGCTCTGGGGACAATCAAATTGAATACAAGGAGCTAGAGGAGCCTAAGCTCTAGAAAGCCCTGTGCGAATCTCCCAGAAAATATTTTATTGCCTGGTTTATCTAGATGATGTGTGTAGGTGTTTCAAGTTTTAATGCCACATTGCTTTCACCTAATCACATTCTACTTGGTGTTGAAAAGAAGATTCAACGATTAGAATTCCTATTAAAGATGTTCATTCCAATTCAGAAAGGAAACTGTTTCTAATTCAGAAAGGCAACTCAACAAAAGTAATCTCCTTAGAGGCCCCCTTGTTTAAAAAAAATAAAAAGAAAGTCATGAGCTAAGGTGCAATATATTTAAAATTAAATTACTAATTCAAAATACAATATAAAATACATTATGTAACTATATGCTTGTCATTTAATTTGGGGGGTGAAAATGAATCAGAAATTGAAAAGGGCTGATTTAAGTAAGCTATAGAGAGATTTCAGTGGATTTTGGAATGTTATTTTAATAAGTATATTCCTGAAGTGCATTCCCAAAGACATTAAAGTAGGCCACCTACAGAAAAAAACACTTTCTGTTCAGACAAAAAAGGTGAAGAAAACTCTATCAGGATAATCCACAAATGGAAAAAGATAAACATTTCTGATAAAAAAAAAAAAAGCTTTCCTTTAAAAGTGTAATTTAAGAAACTTTTATTGAAAAAGAAAACCTTGTGAACACCTCCTTTGAACCTCTGTACCACATGACCTCAGGCCCCAGCACTGCGGCGTTGGGACTATTCCTGGCTCTGCTTGGGCCTGAGCCCTGGCGGTGCTCAGGGCACTTCTTAGGGGATGCTCTGGATTAAAGCAGGGTCAGCAAAGCACGCACTTTAAGCCCCACATCAGTCATCATGTGTTTTTAAAAACTAGCTTTTTATTTATTGATTTTTTTCTCTTAAGCTTTATTATTATTTTTTTGTAGGGGGGATAAGGTCCACACTCAAGAGTACTCAGGGGCTACTCTCCGTCCCTTTCAGCAAATTCTAGCAACATTAAAATTCTGGGGCCAGGAGAGCATAGAGCAGCTCAGGCACAGACTTAGCATGCACTTGACAAGGATTCCTGGCACCACAGGGACCCCCAGGGTATTACTGGATGCAGCCACAGAAGCCCTGAGCACCACTGGGATGGTCCAGGTATCCCAGGGCATTGCAGGGCCCCAGCAAAATCATACGGTTGAGCCCTTGCACTGGGCTGAGCCAGTTGGCTAAGAATTGCTGAGCATAACTTGGAAAGCTCCTGTTCAAAATTACTAAGTCCACACTTTAAATTTTTCAATTTTTAACATTTGCAACTGTAAATTTTTTAATAGTAAATATAAGACAGAATGACTTTTCTAAATCCATTCTTACTGTTTTTCTACCATTATTTTCTCTTGGAGCATTTAAACTTTTTAGAAAATGTTATTTCTTGTTTTCTTGCATTTTTGTGCTTATTAAATTTTTATAGCACAGCGGTAGGGTGTTCGCCTTACAAGCGGCCAACATGGCCGACCCGAGTTCGATTCCTCCGCCCCTCTCGGAGAGCCCGGCAAGCTACCGAGAGTATTTGATATGCCAGACACAGTAACAACAAAGTCTCCAATGGAGACGTTACTGGGCCCGCTCGAGCAAATCGACGATCAACGGGAGGGCCTTTACCTTTACCTTTACCTAAATTTTTATGGTGCCTCTTAAGAAACCAGTCCCTCAAGTCTCTTTCTTCTACCCTAAGATTTCTGATTGTGGTGGTACAAAAGTTATGATTAAATATATAAACAGTGCTCATTTTACTTCTTTGCAACATGCCACTAATGTCACGCAATGGTGTATTCCAATCCTTGAGTAATCCAAAACCGATGCTGTCAAACATGATCCAACAGCACTTATAACTTTGAACATACTTTGTATAATATGGCTCTCCCTGTAAGTATTTTTACGTTAATATGAATCATAAATTGCCAGAGTTAGTCATTTACTATGTTAAAAAAAAATTAAGGATTATGCAACTGAAACCCATTTAGTTCTACAAACCAGTATTAATTTTCAAAAGTGCCAAAAACTGAATCAAGTTTATTCATCTCAGCTGTGGTAATGTGAATGAGATTGGTTATTTCCCCCCTCCACTGTTACAAAATACTCATTTAAAATTGGTAGATAAAAAAATTTTAAAGATTATATATTTTAGAATGACAATTATAAAAATTCCTATGTCTTTCTACCTTGATTTCCTTCCCTATATGTCTTTATACACACAACTTCATATTTTGAGGATAATTTATAAAACATTAAGCTCAATAGGGTACAATAATGTTTAAACGCAAAAATTGAATATATTGCTCTTCAAAGACATTTAAAGTATTTTTAGCACTGTTATAATATTTGTACACACAAACTTCCATTTTGAAGATCATTTGTGCACTATTTTTATTTTTAAATTAAAATAATAGACTTGAAATACTAAATAATAAATTAGGGTTTATTCATAATTGTTGAATATCGGGACCCATGGCCTAAAATGGAACGAACAGGGTGAAAGACTGTCTGAGTTCATCATGTTGACCAAGACCATCCATGGTAACTCACAGTTCCAGAAGGCCGAATTTAAATGTTGGGCATGGGAGTCTCCTGGTAGACGGTTCCACAACAAAATTGGCCACATCATATTCAATTGACGGTTTTGCCTGACCAATGTGACTGTTGTCCCAAAACTCCAAACAGGATCGGACTACCGTCTCCTTTGTGCAAAATTCTACTTCACAGACTGTGGAGAAAGGGCTGCAAAGTTTAAGAAGAGAACTCCCAGAATGACCACCAACTGGGAGTTCTTTGGCACTATTGCAGCAACATGGGAAGATGCCATTATTGACAACATTGATGAGGAATGCGATCGACTGGTTCAGCACCTCCATGATTGTGCGAAAAATGCCGAGAGAGATAGCCAAAAAAAAACGCCTGTCTTTGAAAACTCTTTTGAGCTTATTCACCAACGTGGCTTGGCACAAGGCTCAGGCAACCGCAAGCGAATGTCTGAGTTCGCAAAACAGTGCAGAGAAGCAATAAAGGAAGACCTCAAAGAGAGACGAGCAGCAGTGCTGGCAGATGCAGCAGAAGCCAGGAAAAGCATTTGCAATGCCCACCTGTCCTTCGCAAACTACAAGACCAAGATGACTGCCCTTCGACATCCTGGTGGATCTATTACATCTTCCAGAAGGGCAATGGAGAAGATTATTCATGACTTCTACTCAGATCTCTTGGAGAGCCACGTCTACCTGCCCACATACCAAATTCCGCAGGATGAATATGTCATTCCCAATGTTCTCCCTTCCGAAATTCAACATGTCATATCATGGGTAAAGTTGCGAACAGCACCAGGCCCAGACAAGGTCAGATCTGAACACCTGAAGAATCTGCCCTCTGTACTCATCAATACACTGGCTTGGCTCTTCACATGCTACCTATCTGAATGCAAGGTTCCGTCCCAATAGAAAACCATCAGGACTACACTACTGTACAAGAAGGGAGACATCCGTGACATTAGCAACTATTGCCCAATCTGCCTGTTTTCTGTCGTCTACAAGCTGTTCGTTTGAGTCATCCTGAATAGGATTGGCAGAACACTAGATGAAGGACAACCATGCGAGCAAGCTGGGTTCCGCAAAGGATTCAGCATGATCAACCATATGCACATGATAACCAAGCTCATTGAGGTTTCTCGGCAGTTCAAGATGCTGCTCTGTCTAATGTTCATTGATTTATAGAAGGCCTTTGATTCTGTTGAGACGGAAGTGGTCATCGAAGCTCTAGCCCAACAGGGCATTCAGACTCAATAAATCAGGATCCTCCATGAGCTGGATTATGGATTCACTACCAGGATTTCACCATTCTACAGGGAAGTGATCATTGACGTCAAGAGACGGGTTCAGCAGGGTGATACCATTTCACCGAAACTCTTCAGTGCCACCCTTGTGAACATCATGTGACAACTGAAATGGGAAGGAATGGGAGTGAAGATAGACGGTCGGCAACTACACAACCTCTGCTTTGCTGATGACATCGTTCTAATAAAACCAAACATTAGCCAAGCACCACAAATGCTGGCCAACTTCGACCATGAGTGTGGAAAGGTCGGACTACAGCTGAATCTCACAAAGACAATGTTTATGCGAAATGGACTCTTTCCTGACACTCCATTCGCTCTCAATGGAATGACCATCTCCGAATGCAACAGTTATGTGTACCTAGGTGGAGAAGTCAACATGATAAATGACCTGGCACCTGAGCTGTGCAGGAGGAAGAGAGCGGCTTAGAATGCCTTCAAGAGCGTCAAAGAAATAGCTAAGAAGACAAAAAACCTCCTACTCCTGGCACATCTCTTCGATTCCACTGTTCTTCCTGCATGAGCATACACCTCAGAGAACTGAGCCCAATGAAAACAGGATGAGAACTCTGTTTGGGTCTCTCAAAGAGGAATCGAAAGAGCTATGCTTGGAGTATCATGCTTCACTCAAGTGAGAGAAAGAATCCGGCGTTCTGACCTCCATCGATGATCAAGAATCAGGGACGCTGTCTCGTTTGCCAAGGCGTCAAAAATCAGATGGGCTGGACATGTAATGAGATTTGGAGATTACCGCTGGACTAGAACCATTACTGACCGGATTCCACGGGACATCCAAAGATCGCGTGGCTGCCCACCTATGAGATGGTCAGACTTCTTCATCAAGACCCTGAGCGATCGAGTTGAAGCTCTTCATGTTCCTAGGACAAGCAGACGCCATTGCGCTACACTAGCATGCAAATGGAGATGTTACTGGTGCCCGCTCGAGCAAATTGATGAATAATGGGATGTCCAGTGATCATGTGATCTGGTAATTCATCATTCTATTCATTTTTACTCCATTAAATATCTCTTTACAAAAATTCAGTTAAACAGGACTAGCCTATGCCCTCTGAATGTTAAGCAGCATGTCTAAAAATAGTGAGTTTCAAAACTAGTAACTTTCCCAGTCGGATTCTAACTTGGGGCATCTAATTTCATAGTCAGATGTTTCATATCAATGTTATAACTCCTAATGACTAGATAGATTGTCTTTTGCTTGTTAACGATTTTTTGTTTTGGTGTCACACCCAATGGTCCTCACGATTTACTCCTGTCTCTGTGCTCAGGGATCACTCCTGGAAGTCTCACGTGATCAGATGAATGCCAGGCTTCAAACACACATAAGCGCCCTATCCAATGGTCGCTTGTAAAAAACATTTTCAGTAAACAGGTTTTTCTTCTTTTAATAGACTGTGGAAATATTCCCCATTATTTAGGCATATTAGTCAATGGTTATAGGACCAGAATCTTATAGTCGCCAGGCTATTTATAGTGTCCAAAGTTGTCAGTCTCTTCCTCTTACATCAATAATAGATTTGTTCTCAAGCATTTTTCAATCAGCATCAGAATATACAAAAGCTTCTCCAGCTCAAGACCCTGCACTTATGTACTACAGGATCCCTTCCCAGCCCTCTGTTGCTGCTAGAATTTACCTTTCCTTTGCTGATGATAAAGAAGGTGTCTCCTCTTGCACCTTGTCTGATGATATACTCCCCATTTTCATAGTGAGTCTGAAAGACACAAACAGTAACAAAATTCAAAACATTACAAGAGGAATAATTTACCGAACAGTTCCACGTTTCCAGTGTCAGCTCTAGACATATGTATTCACACAGAGGAGGTTTTGCCCAAGTTTGGAATCAATTGTGACTAAAACATGAGTAAGTGTACATGAACACAATTACAAAGAAATTATTTTTATCCTGCTTATTTTGAAAATGTATTAATGTTATGGGGGGTGATTTTAAAGATATATTCCAGTCTTTATGCTTACTTTTTTGGGGGGTCACACCCAGGATTCTCAGGGGTTTTACACTCAGTAATTACTCCTAACAGTGCTCAAGGGACCACATAGGATATCAGGGATTGAACCCAGGTCAGTCATACACAAGGCAAATGCCCTACCTGCTGTACTATGGCTCTGGTCCCTACACTCACTCATTTCAATAGCTTACTGACAACATTCTTTCCTTCCATCAGTTGACCATGAAATAAAATAGCAGAATGATAATTAAACAGGTTGCTACATTATTTTGTCATTCTTGTTAGGTTTTAGCAGTCTCCTGGATTTAATCTTCATATTTCCCACACCTAAAAAGTTACTGTGGCATCCAACATCATTTATATTGAAACCAGGTTGATGTTGAATGTGGGTTATAGGATAGTAGTTACTTTTTAGGGCACTGCTTTAGATTGTAATGTTCTTGCTTCAGATCTTTATATCGGTCCTGTCAAAGAAGAATATCTTGATTTTGTGGTCTGAATTGTGGTTCAGCATCTGTGAACTCATGAGCTAGGAGCCAGTTAAGACTGCAAAAGGATTATCATAGTCAGAATATCAGTATTCTGATACTGGGCACAGTTGCTATATCCATTCCCAGAGTGGATTATTTCTGCCATTGGATGCAAGTAATTTCTACAAGGAGAAATACGAGAACAAAACTTGCTGGGTCAGGAAGTATAACCAAAAAATGAGAGCTGTGGCATCTGACCTTATTCTTATTTACACTTCTGCAAGAGAGCCACATTTTGGAAAAGAAAACATTACCTTACACACACCACAAACAAATAGATTTCACGTATGTATGCAATATTCATTAAGTCAAAGCAATAATTTGTTTGTATAGTTCAACAACATAGTTAACTGTAAGTTTGCCTTTCACTAATATCTGACATTGATAACTGTCACAATTTTATTCGTATATTGAGAAAACTGACTTGTTCTTCAAGCTTGTGTTCTCCCTTGAACATATATCTAATTTGCTTGTCTATTTTAACTCTGAAGAAGCCCGTGTTCTTTCTCGAACATGTACTTCTTTCTTTCCCACCCCTTACATCTTTCTAAGTAAGTTTCAATAAAAATTTTCTTGCTTCACCAAGAGAGAGAGAAAATATACTACCCACTTTATACTAAAATTAACTTTTAAAAATATAATTTACTAAGACACAGTGATCTACAAAGTTATTCATAGACGAGTTTTAGGCATTCTATGTTCCAGCCCCAGACCCAATACCAGTGTTGACTTCCCTCCACCAGTGTCCCCAGGTTCCTTCCCACCCCACTCCCACCCCTCAGCCTGCCTCTTTGATAGCCACATTTTGAAGTTGGTTGTTAAGGCTTGGATCTCCTGCTTACAATGTTACTAGCTCTGCAGTTTACATGCGGAGTCAGTAACATTGTAAGCAGGAGATCCAAACAAAACTCTCTATCTATCTCTCTATCTCTCTATCTCTCTATCTCTCTATCTCTCTATCTATCATCATCTATATGGTATGTGCTCTGTAGCACTGTAGCACTGTCCCCCCATTATTCATCGAGTTGCTTGAGCAGGCACCAGTAATGTCTCCATTGTGAGACTTGTTGTTACTGGGTTTGGCATATCCAATATGCCACGGGAAGCTTTCCAGGCTCTGACATGCAGGCGGGATACTCTCGGTAGCTTGCCGGGCTCTCCGAGAGGGACAGATGAATCAAACCCGGGTTGGCTGCATGCAAGGCAAATCAAATGCCCTACTCGCTGTGCTATCGCTCCAGCGATATATATATATATATATATATATATATATATATATATATATACACATATACATATATCACTCCTCTACAACACCTTTCTACAAGTAACATTTTATGAAAAAAAAATAAGGCACTTCCTTATTCCCTTCTACCAATTTCATACTGACACCATCAGCTATCTTTCAAGGCACTTTTTCAGGGCCAGAGTGATGGTACAACAGGTAGGGCACTTGCCTTTCATGCAGCTGACCTGGGTTTGAACACTGGCACCTGGTTTGGTTCTCTCAGTGCCATCAGGAATAATTCCTGAGTGCAGAGCCAGAAATAACCCCTGAGCATCACTGGGTGAGTGACTCAAAAACAAAACACCAAAAACTCAAAGCACTTTTCCTATACTTGTATACATTTATTTATAAATATACAAATAATTACTTTATAATAAAATAGGAATGTAGGTGTACTACCTTCTACTAATTTACTTCACTAAAGATATCTATGTTCCTTGGAACCAGAGAAAGAGAGAGTGAGTGAATAGAACAGTTGCCTTGCCTGCAGCTGACCAGGCTTGAGTTCCCAACAACATATATGGTCCCGTGAGCACAACCAGAGTGATCCCACAGAACAGAGTTAGGAATAAGAATTAAGCAATCCAGGAAAGCTCAACAATAAAAATAAAATGATATCTATGTTCCATGTTCTTATCTTGTGGATTTGAGAATACAAAACATTTTGCTACATGTTGGAAAGCAAAACATTGTTTTTTTTTTCAAATATTCAGCAATTTTTCTGAGTTCTATGAGATTGTGTTAGAGTCACATAATGGAAAGATGAAGATTAAAATTTTATATTAGTACCTCCAATCACTATTACTTTGATGATAGCGATGACTTCATTTACCAATGTAACACCAATGACTCTAGTCATATGTAGCTTACTGAAAAGGTGAAACGTGAACTGTGACTAAGTGGTTTCAATTTAGTAGAAACCAGACCCAAATCGTTATTAATAATTGCATTGTGCTAGAACTGAAAAGAGAGGACCACCATACAATTTAGAGCTATAGAGATGTGAAAAGGATAAAATGTCACTTTGATTCTTTCCCTGTGAAGAGTTCACTCAGAAAAACTGAGGTCCTTCCCTTGAGCATTCCTCACTCTGCACCGGAGAAGGTACAATTCAGTCAACGGGTACTCTAGAAATTAATTCCGTAACTATGCTCCTTTCAGCCTTTTCTTTCTTCCTGGGATGAGGAAGTTCATGACAGAAGATGACATGCCCTGCTGCTTTTCTAGGAAATCCCCCCAGCAGAGGGAAGTCTTCCCTTTTCTGGGTTTTTGTGGTAGGACAGGTAATTCAGCCCATATATAGGTTCCAGTTTGGGATTCTAATTGCTTTTCATACCTAAACCAGATTTTATGAGTAAGTAATGATGATGTTATTCCCATATGTCCTACTTCCTCATCTCACTTGGCTCTTAACCCTACCCCCAACCAACACTTTGTAAGCAAATATAACACTGTACTGTATATTAGCACAACAGATGTGTAATAAATGTGCAATCTTAGAGACGTAAGACTTTTTCCTGAGGGTTCTATAATGGAGGAAGAAAATAATTCCCAACAAAGGATAAAGGAAAGGCTGTTGAATTTTGAACAAAACAAGGTCAACCACAAAAAGGGGGGGGATTAACAGCATATTATGGACAAAAAAGGCAATAAACAATTATTTTGTTAAAAGTGAAAAAGTTCACATAAAATATATCAAATTGTCAAAACTTATGTCAGTTAAGTCCGTATTTTCTCATCTATCTTGTTTTTAGAGCACATTCTTATCTACGTGATTGTTATTTCCATTATGTAAGCAGAAATGATCTGTAGTAGATGCAAAAATATGATGGCAAGAGTTACTTAGCTTCAGCAGTATTGGCATTTTGATGCAGATATTATTCTTAATATAATGTTAATCATTTTAATGTTATTTTTATTGGGGTTACCCTATACATCTAATCCTACTCAACAATATTTAGTAACATCCACAATCTCTACACCTATATGCCAATAAATTAACCACAGTTTTGAATGTTACATCAAAACGCAACATTAACTTCAAAAATGTAACAAGACTGCCAATTACTCTCTTGGGGGCAACATAAATTACCCTTCCTTGACAATAGCCACACTAAATCTTTCTTATATTTTTATATTAGAAAAAGCAATTTTGTAATTTCTTTTCATACCATATATAATCAGGTGATTCTTTGTTGTCAGTTGGATAATTATAAGACCTAAAGCCTCTATGCTGTGATGAGAATTTGGTCTTGGAAGCTGGAAGGAACAGTCTCTGTTTTCCTCCAGGTGTGTCTTCCTGTGAGTACTTTGTCTTCTTCATAGCAAGATGAATGGAGGTGGACCAAATCTTTACTCCATAGCTGTCTTCTGCAAAAGCCAAAGGGTCGAGACCTTTGGCTAATCTAAGACCTTTGGCTAAGACTAATCTAGAAATAGACCTCGTATCACGTGTGCTGTAGCCAAGCGGTCCCAGCAGACTCTGGAGTCTGTCTGCCGAGACCTCGCAAGAGGCATTTGTATGAATGTAATAACACCAGGAGAGGAGATTCAATGGGTGCTACCAAAACAGTCTCAAGCACACCTCAAATGTCAGGTGTATAGAGCTGACTACATCACCTCTGACTCCTAGTCCTGCTTTTTCCAACTAGACCTTTTCAGATGCTGGGAATAACACGTTGGGGTCATTATAACTCTAGTCCCAGGACTGTCTATCAGCAAATCTGGCTAGCTCCATGTTAAGAATTCATGCAGTAGTCACTCATCATAACTGCTTTTGTTCCGCAAAGTCACCACCTGGGATTTCTACTCCTACCTAACCCTTTCAATCCCCCATAGCGTCTAGGAGATTTTCTTGACACAAATCGCCTGCCTTCACTCTCTTCACAGGGGCAGGGGACTTGCTGCTCCAGTGTAGTGGAATTGTACA